AAAATTTGATCAGAAATGAATTTGTCTGTAGAAAAACAGCAGCTGTACAGTATAGATAAATTTAATACTGACTCTACTCATTGAAGTGTTCTTACTGCTTTTATCACTACTGTAGAGTTGTTTATGAATACAAAATGAGCATATCTCTGATCATTTGTGTGTAAAAATAGAGTAAAACACTGAATTATCAGAAATACAGGTCTGTCATGAATGAAAATATATGAATATTTATTTCAAACAGAAATTTGCAAGTATTCAAAGCAAAACACACCCTGTAACTAGCATACTGACTTGAAGCACAGGACAGATTAATCTTTTTCAATGACAGCATCAAGTAGCTCTTCTATTTATTTTAATTTGCATGCTTTTTCATGAAACAGACAGCAAATTTCAATACAAGTTTGAATAATTAATACAGGTACATATCTCAAAATTTCTCACAAATTGTGTTTTTGATGCCATATGGCATTTGTTTTTGATGTAATTGTTTCTTTTTATACCCCATGTCAGTGTATATGCATTTTGTCTCCTTTATTTCTTACATCATGACTGAATTAACATCAAATTGCTTAAACTATTTTCAGAATCATGGCCAAAAAATGGCATTAACTAAGATGCACAATTGAAAAACATCAGTGGCTGGAAAAAAATCAAGTCATGTGCAGTGAAAAGAATAAATACAACACAGTAATCAGGTAAAATTCTTTTTTTTCAAATAAATTGATAAGTATTTTGTCATTTATTTGCTTAACTTGACATATTCACTCTGGAAAATGAAATTTGTATGTGTTTGAACATGCTAAGATAAAATTGTAGGTGATTTTCAAAATTATAAGACATAGTACAAAGACACACTTAACATTTAATTTCAATATTTTCTTTTTCAGATTGGAATCTTATGTAGTATTAAGAGTGGATTTTTTTACAATGGACCAGACCTCATGACAAATGTACAACTGATGTCAATAACAAATATTCTCTTTGTGCTGCTATTTTATCCAAAAGTATTTGATGGCTATGGTAAGTTATGCATTTTTCTCCCCATACTGAAATTACATCATCCAATTTGACATACACATGATGTTTATCAATGAAATCACTGAATGGTAAGAAAAATGTGTTCTCTGAGTGACAAATAATCTGGCCTGTGTAAGAAAAGTCATTTTCAGGAGCAAATATGGTAAAACAAACTATTCCGCAATCCTATTTTGTCTTTTTTATTTGCTAAAGAACACATTTTTTCTTAAATCAAATAAAAATGCATACCATCTTTTACTTTTAGTTCATTTCTATACTGTTTTATGAGTTTTGAAGCAAATATCCATGTCCATTGAGACAAAAAATCTGAAGTACTGCTGTTTTTCTTCAAAATTTTTGATTAAATGTTTGAAATAAAGTAGTCAGAATCTTATATTTTTTTCAGACCTTGTTCCAAGTCACATTCACATAGCTGAGCATTAAAGTGTTGCCTTGTTTTCATTCAAGAGGTCACAGATGCTCCATTGATGTGCATAGCTTATTGTCACATATCAATTATGGTAAGTTGTTTTCAGTTAATATGAGAATTTAAGATCATTAACATCATGTTTATATCTCAACCTTTTTGTTTTTCCTTGGGGGTAAGTTATATTAAATTTCACTATTTTACATCAACATGATGTTAACATGTCAATTTATTTGAAATGCAGATAAATTTCATAAGTTTTATCTGTTATGTGCATTTTATTGTTTTATACTTTGACTCAATGTCAGTCCATTTTACATTCTTTAATCTTATTCATTTTGTGATAATATAAAACACTGGATTTATTTCATCACAGATAGATTTAAATTGTTAAATGATTTACATATATTTTTTTTTTTCATTTTATATTTTCAATGATTTTTATTTTGTTTTCAGGCTGAAATCAACGGACAGTTAGCATTGTAGACTATGTATTAGTGACAAAGAAATAAAAATTCACACAAAAAAAATCTCCAGACATTGTGAAAAAGCATAAGATGTTGGAATGAGATGTACATATAAGAGAATGAAATAAAATTCATGTCTTCAATTTATTTTGCATTTTTATTGTTAATTTCAAACATGCATAGCCTAAAACACCCCGGCCCAAACAAGGCGGGGGGTCTAAAAAAGAGGTGCCCCCCCTAAATATTCTCATCAGAGTTTTTTACATATCAGCTATATACCATACACCAGTACTGGAAAAATATTGAACTTGAAAAAAATGCGTTTACGTTTGGAATTTTCTATGAACTTCTACTACATTTCTTTGTAGGGCGATGCTTTTTTGCCCTACACAGATTGCGCATGCGCGAGACAATACTACTTCCAGTCAATTTTTCATAGCAACGGACTTAAAAAGGTCTATATTGATGTGTATTTTGGACCGGAGGCTTTCATTTACTAAAATCAAGTTGAGTTGAGTTGTTTTACAAACTCTATTTTACTGATTTCCGACAGCGTATGTCCTGTGGTCCACGTATTTAGAAAAATCGAAAATGAAATGACGTTACAGGTGTAGCCTTCATTATACTTAATTAGGCAAATGTACCCTGTGACCTTTTATGAAAGAGTCAAGTTATGAAATCCATGAAATCCAAGCGTATGAAGACAAGACTTTTAGGATTAAAAGTTAAAACTTTTACTTATATAAACAAAGAAATATTCATACAACTTTACAAGTCGTACGTATATCTTTTATTCCTCCATTGAATGAAGAGCAGAACAAGCATACATATAAATATCACACATATATACAAAATTATTATCAGACCACAACTCTGTATATGGGCACCTAAATTTAAAAAAAAATGCAATATCCATTTAAAATTGCCATTAAAATATTTAGAGAAATGCCGCATGGGTACTACGTGAATGATTTGATAAGGAATACAGTTAGGCAAGGAATCCCAACCCTTGAATAAAGACAAATACCGGAGATAAAATAACAGACATGATAATAATGAATATAGTAATCATGAATTTCCTATTTAAATACAGATTAAGATAGTAATTAGAAATACTGCCATCTCTGTCAAAAAATGCAGGTGATGAGTTCCATTACATTTTAGAACTAACCGTCGAAATAATTACCCGTTAATTTAAAAAGATGTTCCATGTTTCAGCACTAGTCAAATTGTCTGTGTTTTTACACAAAGAATAGTGTTGAAAATTACTGTTTAGTATCTTTTGGTATCTTTTTATTGTCATGTATCGTCTTTATTTATTGAAGGTCTTGTGATATATTGAATATTTGTAATATTTTGACACTTTATGGGTCTAGTTTGATAATAAAACTTGAAAACTTGAAATTTGATTTTATTATAACTAAATTAGCTCCTGTAACTGAATTCAATACAAGAATTGTCGTTAAATAAAGCGACAAATAAAACAAACCTAGATAGAGGAAAAATTACCAACTAGCTATTCAGTAATAAAACATATAATATTGTTGTTGTTGTTCTTGTTGTTGTAGTGGGGATGATTGAGGCGGTGTTGCTGCTGTTTCTGGTGCTGCCGCTGTTGGTGTTGTTGTATTACTTGTTGTTGTTGTTTGTGGTGGTGGTGGTGGTGGTACTGGTGTTTTGTATCATGTGTTAGTCAAATTGTAACTTGGATCACACTCAATACTTTCTCGAACTTCATAGAAACTTATAAATAAGTTTTATTCTATTTAAAGGTATCGATTACGTTATGCATATGTCATTATCACAAAGAGGGTTTATATACAAATAAAACAGTCATTTGTGAATTCAGTGTAAGTACCAAATTGTATGTTTGTTGGTAACAATAAAATTTAAGCAGGAACTGTAACTTCTGTTAGCTTAGAAATTTCACTTATTCGAGTTACTTCCCTTATACGCTACTAAGCCAATATATCCACTTTGATTCTGATTTATTATACATGTAATATTGTTTCTTTACCCCGAGAATGGGTTGCGAAAGGGGGCTTAGGCACTGGACGGTGCATTTAAATCATTTTTATAACTCACGTTCCAGTTACAAATATATTGGATGGAAGTTATCAACATGAAATAACAAGTTTTTGTTTTAGATTGTTTTTAAATAGAAATGAATTTGTCAATTTTACTTTTAATAATAATAATAATAATAATAATAATAATAATAATAATAATAATAATGATAATGATAATGATAATAATAATTATAATAATAATAATAATTATAATAATAATCCTCATCATCATCATCATCATCATCATCATTATCATCATCATTATTCACACATGTCTACATTTTTCCCATCAACTAACTTTTGTTTCTATTTTCATAACAAATGCCACGTGTTATCAACTTTGCATGTGCGAACTTTTTACCCGTTTTAATAAAACATTTCTACCAAAGTTTTTCATCAATTTTCGTCGTTTGTAAATAATGTGTTTGCATTTGCCTTTTTGAAATCCGATGCCTAAGATTTTCTTTCGGTCTATCATTAGCAAATCAAACGAATATATTCTGTCGGTTGTCAGCTAAATAATACTAAACAAGAACTATTAAACGAAACATGATTCTGCACACTCGATTATTCTCCATTTTTTAGGTTTAAGTAAATTATCAGTTAAATGAAGTACGGGTTTGAATAAATTCAGTTTAACCCTCTTTGAACTCTATATTTTTTTATAAAAGCCTTCAAATTTGTAACGGATACCAGATATCCTGTAAAAAGGCAGAAAATAAATATTAACTTTATTTGGTTTATTCTATTACTGACTAAAGAGTGCAATATACTTGAAGAACTTCCATGTGCGTCAATGCCTTGCACACGATTACTAAAGAGATTACTAAAAAGATATCCGTGTTTTCATTTTTGTTATCTTTTCATATTCGAAAGTTTCGTAATGCTTTAATTGCTCTAATGCTCTTTTGTTTTCACAATGCTCTCATGCTCTTTAGTTTTCACTATGCTCTAATGCTTTTTATTATTAACATTGCTTTATTGCGCTTTAGTATACAAAATGATCTAATGCTCTTAAGTAATCATATCGCTCTTATGATTTTTTTCATTCACAATGCTCTTCTGAAATTTAATTTTCACAATGATCTTAAGAATACATAATGTTCTAATGCTATTAAGTATACAAAATGATCAAATGCTCTTGCATATTGATATTGCTGTAATGCTTTATAGTATACAAAAAGATCAAATCTCATTAGTATTTACATTGTTCTAATGCTTTTCAGTGTTCACTGCCCTAAATGCTCTCAAGTAGTCACATCGCTCTAATGATTTTCTTTTATGTTCACAATGTTCCAATGCTCTTTAGTATACACAATGCTCTAATGGTCTTAAGTATACACAATGAACTAATGCTCTTAAGTAAACACAACGATCTTTGGCTTTTAAGTATTAATAATGCCCTAATGCTTTTAAGTATACACAATGCTCATATGCTCTTAAGTATTTACATTGCTCAGATGCTCTTCCGTACATACAATGCCCTAATACTCTTTAGTTTTCATTATGCTCTAATGCTCTTTTGGATTTATTATGCTATAATGCTCTTTTGGATTTATTATGCTCTAATGCTCTTTTTGATTCATTATGCTCTAATCCTCTTTTGGATTCATTATGCTCGTATGCTTTTTGGATTCATTATGCTCTAATGCTCTCTTGGATTCATTATGCTCTTATACTCTTTTGGATTCATTATGCTCTAATGCTCTTTTGGATTCATAATGCTCTAATGCACTTTTGGATTCATTATGCTCTAATGCTCTTTAGTATTCACCATTGCTTTTATGCTCTTTAGTATTCACAAAGATTTTATTATGGTTAGTATTCACGATTATCTTGTTGTTTAATATTCATAATGTTCATATGCTCTCTTTAATCTTCATTATGCTCTAATGCTGTTTTGGAATCACAATGCTCTAATGATCTTAAGTATTCGGGTTGCCCTAATGAGCTATATTATTCACAATGTTCTGGCGTTCTTTAGTATCCACATTGCCCTAATGCTCTTATGTATTCAAATTGCTCTAATGCTTTTAAGTATACATAATGCTCTATGGCTCTTGAGTATACACTTCGCTATAATGCTCTTTAGTATTCACTATGCTCTAATGATATTTAGTATCTGTGTTGCTCTCATTCTCTTTATTTTTTACATTACCTTAATGCTCTTCATTATTCACATTGCTTTAAAGCTCTTTATTATACGAATTGCTACTATGTACTGTGGAATTTATATTGCTCTTTTGCTATTTTTAATTCACAGTGCTCTAATGCTCTTAAGTATTCACAATGCTCTTACGCTCTTTGGAAAACATCATGCTCTAATGCGCTTCTTAATAGCATGGCTTATACATGTACAATTTTAACAGTTCTAATTTTTTACATTTTTTTTCTTTGTTTTTTTCTATTACACGTATGTCCACATTAGCAAGGGTAAAACAGGGTAAGAAATTCATCTAGATGGGAATAAGGAAAGCGAAAAGAAGACAGGATTTCATTTCCACAGAAACTTTAATAAGTCCAGGCGAAGATTTGAACTTAGACCGACTGGTCTACTCATTGAAGAGTGGTGTTACTTGAAACAAACTTTTTAAACGGGCTGCCTACTTTGACTTTTTTATCAAAAATATCAACACAATGATAAATGTGAAAAATACACGACAAACGCCAGTGTGTCAATATAACTACATCGCTGAAAAAACTGTTTTCATTTCTTATAATAATACAACAATTTTCAAGTATCTTTATAAATTTTAATAACTGCTTCTCAATCTTCAAATACCTTTGTATAAAATGAGATCTTCACCGATGATTCTAGTGCGTTTCATTAAAAGAATATTCAAAATAATATTTACTTGACATCACATATTTTTCATTTCTTTTACGTTATGAATAACAAGCTGAAATTATCTCCCGAGTAAATTGATTTCTTCAGCTCACTTTAATTCAGTTTAAATGTTTTTTATCAAATGTGTCCTTTTTGTCGGTGTCGTTTTAAATGACAGCAAATATAGGATACCCCATGAATGTTCAAGTTTTTAACCACCCACTTAAGTCTTGGTTTTTAAAGACATGCAA